ATACAATGGTTATTGGGTTAATGGATTTCGGTTTCATACTATCGCATATGGACAAAATAAAAAGACCATGAATAGCGGTGTTTGTGTGAAGGGAACCACTTTCAATGATGAGTCAGATTATTATGGGAGTTTGAAGGAAATAATTGAGCTTCAATATTTTGACTCATATGTTCATCAATCAGTGATTTTTTTCAAGTGTGAATGGTATGATATCAACAAAGGCATTGTGGTCTATCTGACATCTGGTATAGTTGACATAAATCCTCGGTTTAAATTACAAACGGATGAACCATTCATATTGGCCAGTCAAGCTCAACAAGTGTTTTATGCCTGTTACCCATCTCAAAATCCCTGTAGAAAAGGGTGGTTTGCTGCATGTAAGATTAGAGCAAGAGCAATAATCGACACTTCATTGTTGAGTGATGGTGGAAATGTTTATTATCAAGACGATGATCCTCCTATGCCACAATTGGTGTAACCCTCGACTGTTTTAAATGATCATGTTTCACTAGCATCTTAAGGGGGAGAACAAGTGGTGATTAGTGAGGTCATGCAATTGCCATATGTGACAGAGGAAGAATGTGTGGGTGAGGATGATGATGAAGAGGAAGAGTTTGATGGAATGGAAACATCGGAAGAAGAAGTTCTAAATTACTTAATCAAAAGTGATAGTGACTAAATGTATCTTATTTGATTTTTTTAATTAATTGAACAAGGGATGAAGGACTACTTATATTTTCTTTATTATGTGTTTTCATTATTGACTTTTATATTTATTTTTATATCAATATGTCTACTATAATTCTTTATATTGATATGTATAGTGAAGTTATATTTATATATTATTATATTTATATTGATATATATATCTATTTACTTATAAATATATATTTCATACATTTATAGTTATTTATATATATTTAGTTGTGTATTGATATTTATATTTTTCATTTTTTTCTCATTTTTTAAATTCTCATTTAATCAAATGTATGATTTTTTTTCATATTGTATTAAACTATTGAACTCTTATAATGAGTTTGGTTACTGTTATATCTTTATCTAATCTAAAAGTTATTAATTGAATATTTTTATATTTTGTTTTTTTTTTTAATTTTTGCTTTTCTTCATGAAAATGAAGTTGATGTGTTTCCATTATTTTTTGTATACGGATATGAGATGAGGTACGCGAGGTGCATCTTCTTCTAGACAATAGGTTAATCCAGAGGGAGAACCACAAAGGTCATTTCGTCGTCTTATTTGGGGGCCTCGTAGGGTTGTTCCTACATAGCAGTAGATTTCCAGTTTGACTCAGCTTCCCACACAGCTGCAACAGGAGCAACCCACTGTTACTCAGCCACCATTGGTCGATGACCAGTTCACTGGTGATGATGCAACAATGGAGGAGGACACTGAAGAGCATAATTTGGAGGCTAAGTTGGATGCTAAGTTTGCTATGCTTGATCCCAAGTTAGATGCTCAGCTGGAGGAGGAGCTATCACGTGCTGTCCCAGAGATAGGACGTGGCATGGATAAAAGAGATACGCTCCGGCAAACCAGAGTCAAAGGAAGGTGCTTAGCCTTAATCGCCGAGGCACATTCAAGCATGAGAGGTTTGGGAGGACTGCCACGGTAATTTGGAAGTACTTTTATGATAGGCTAGTGCTTTTTTGGTCTAGCTGGCCTAAGGAAAAGAAGAGGGTTGCTTGGGAGAATTTTCAGGTATGAAAATTATAGAATAAAATGAAGAGGGTTGCTTGGGAGAATTTTCAGGTATGAAAATTATAGAATAAAATGAAGTATTTTTCGAGAATTTATTTAGATGCTATCACCTTACTCTTATGGCATTTGACATGGAAGTACAAGATATATTTTATATGATTTTTTATATTTTATTTATTAATAGTGAAAAAAATGATAATTTAAGTAAAACTTTACTCTTTTTTTAAGAAAAATCAAATAAATTATTAACATTTAATTTTTTTTTTCATTACCAAGGACATATTATTGGGGAGAGGATGATGCTCGTGTGTATAAAATTTGAAGATTACATTGTTGGAACTGTTTCCGAGACGAGCTTCATCGAGCTCAAAAGGCGTGGGTTTGGGATTTGTTTTTTGCTTTTGCTTGTGTGGGTATAAATAAGGGTCTTTAGATTTGGAATGGGGTTTTTTTGGTCTGAATTTGGGTGTTGCGGGACGTGGCAGTAAGAGGAGGAGGATCCTGAATTTCCAGAGCTCACCGAAGGGATTGTGCATTCTCTGGTTTCTTTTCTTTCCATCTTAGGTAAAAAAATCTCTGAAACAGGGATTCTATTAGGGGAAAATGGTGAAGGAGATGATGGAAGCTTGATCCCGTGGGTGGGATTCCTTTCATCAGATCCAGACCTGTTTTCCTTTAAAGAATCCGCCGTGCTTGTCTATTTCTTTTATCTGTTGATGATTCTGTTTTTCTTTGTTTAGGATGTTAAATTAGTATATGTTTGGTTGGAATGAAAGCGATTTAAAGATCACACAATTCATTTTATCTGACGAATGTGTTTGTTTTGTTTTTTGTTGATGAACTTGGCCCCTTTTTATGATAAATGTGTTCTCTCTTTGAAATTGAAGAACCCTAACTTTAAGCTTTTTTTTTTTTTTTTCCATGTTTGATCTGATTTTTACTTAGTTTTGATCAACAGTTCTTGTTTTTGGGCCTAGTAGATCCAGCCCAATCCAAAAAAAATTAATAAAAACAAACTGTAAAAAAAAAAAGATGGTAAAAAAAAAGGGATATAAAAAAATGATTAATTAATTGAGATAATTAATTTAATTTATGATTAATAAAATTAATTAATTTTAATTAAAATAAATTAATCATAATTATGGATCCTAATTTAAGATAATTGTGTTGCTTGATTATCTTGATCAAAGATTTATTAATGTGATTAATTAATTTTAATTAATTTTAATTAATGTTAAATTAATCATTCAATTAAGTTAATTAACTTAAACCTTTAATTTCCCTTAATCTTTCTCAAAGTCAAATTTATCTTTCTTTATTTCAAATTTCACTCAAAACTTTCATAATTAAGCAATTTAGTCCTAGGTTTCAAATCTGTTCAAATTAGTCTTTCATGTTTTGAATTTAATCAAATTAGCCCTTTATCTTTCGAATTTAATCAAGTTAGTCCCTTAACTTATTGTTTATGTTATTGTGCATGTATGTCTTTGATTTAGTCCATTTTAATCCAAAAATTAAAAAAATGTTTCAATTTGGTTTCTCTTTTTCAAACTTGCTTGTTAAGACCTAAATACAAATATAATAAATAAGTTGAATTAAAATCCCAAATTTAAAGTATGCAACCGTGTTTAAACAGAGGATTGTGAGTTGCGCATATGCCCTTTTTCACTCCTAACCGAACCCTCAAGCTTTGATCTCTACGTAGACCTATTTTAAGTGATTTGTCCCACCTTATAATTTGGACAAGTGGCAACTCCCTTTTCTTTTATATCTTCTCACACTTAATTTTTCATTATTTTTGAAATCTTTAAGTGGTCGTCAACAGCTTCCTCTATGCAACTCAAACCTGAAGAGAAAGAAAGGAAATGGGGTGAGCCATACAAGCTCAATAAGCATAAGTGACACACATAAGGGGGAATCACACAATATAAAATAATTATCTAATAATAATAATAATATCTTATAAAAATGCCCAAAAGGGTATACAAGCTCTACTAGCTACATAATACATTATTGACATCAAATCAAATCATACTTATAACTCAAACATCATAAGAACATATAACACACAACAAGATCCAAGTTGTGGAACTTGAACCCATTAGTTTTACTAGCAAAATTGTGGATGGTCTAGAGGTTATCCTAGCACCTTATGGATGAAATGTTAGGTGGCATGACACAATCACTAGATGATGTGCTCTCAACATGATCAATCATTGGATCACATGCATTTAGCATAATGACATGACATGTACTTGGCATGACCTTCAATCATATACAATAAAACTTTCGAAGGCATGCACTTGGCATGACTTTCAATCACATGCAATCACACTTATATTCAATGACATGCATCTAAAATCGCTATGCATTCCCTAAGCCTTAAATCATATTACATCACATACATACTAATAATGAATACAAATCAACTTACAATTCACAACCAATGCTTAAACTTTAGTCGAAATGGATACTTGGGTATCCACAAATGGTTGTGTATTTTACTTAAGAATTCCACTTGTTAACTTACAAATAATTTATTTAACACATTACACTAAATTAAAACATAACACAAACTTTCATAAAATAATGGAGAAGGCGTTACTTAAACATATGTACAGTTATTTTTACATATTCTTACTTACTTGATGACGTTTCCATAACCTCTATAGAATGGCGAAGATAGCATATTTTTACAACTCACTTTGAAAATCATGAAAGTTATGTGAAACTTACATGCTAAGCTTACACATTCCATACATAGCTTTAAAACACAACTATTATAGCAATTTACAAACCAAGCCTTCCCATGACTCAATAGTTACTCAAAAGCCATAAAAACATGCTTGTAAAACTCATTTTAGGATAATAAACCTTTGCTAAAAACCATTTTTATTTCACTTAAAAGAAATTTATAAACATAGCTAAATTCATTTAGAAGGTATAAACCACAGTAGCTCTAAAACAATGCTATTTTGGTATTTCTAAACTCTTAGTTCCAAAACATGTAAATTAAGTTAACCATCAGCTCACTTAACTTCTTGAATCGTTAAACACATTTTCTCCTTGAGTTTCTTTAAAAACATCTTAAAATCATTAGAGGGTTCAAGCCTTCCAAGACACCAACACAAAATTCAATGAGTCCATGTGAGAAATTAACTTAGAAAGTCACTTCACAAGCAATTTATAAACTAGTTACATAATCTTTCCTTAACTAAACAAAAATCTAGGCTTAGCTCCAAATCTAAATCATACAAATCTTGGCCAAGAACATTAACATTATCTCAATCATGTTCACTTACACGAAAAAGAAAAACATAAACATGGAATTACTAAAAATACATATAACATAGAAATCTAAAGTTAATAACCCAATCAAAAGCACACAAAAGGGAGGGGAATCCAAGGATTCTAAAACTCCCTCACTTATAGTTACTTGACTTAGGCAAAAGAAGGCTAAACTTGGCTTGCTCTAGGTGATTGACTACAAATCTAGCCAAAACAAAGCATATGTTGCATGCTCCAAATCTGATGCTACAAGTCTCAAAATAATAAAATGGTTGTTCACTTTGAAGAACCATGTGTTAGGAACATCCAATGCAAACTTCAACTCAATCTAATGGTGGATTACCATGGATCGTCCATTTTTTTGAAACTATATACAAAGAGAAAACACAACAATTTGCTTTGTTTTTTCCTCTTTTTTCAATTTGTTTTTCTCTTCCATTTATGCTTGGTTTTAACCAGAAACAAGTGGTTAAAAATATCTCCCAAATGACCAAAATATCTAGGTATCAAAGTCAAACAATGAACTTTTCCTATTGGTAAATTTCCCTTAATTTCATTAGGCCACTTGGCCTATAATTGACTATTTAATCTTTTACTTCAAGACTCAAGTTTTCTAGAATCTTCCATACTCCTCCATATCAGTAATCCATCCAATTATCATAATCTCAAATTTCTATCACTATTTAGCTTTGCAAATCACCCTTTAAAATTTTGTGATTTAGCCATAAAAATCCCAAACTTCACATTCCTTACAATTGAATCCTATCTCTATGATTACTTAAGGACTCCTACTCACATTTGTTTCACTTAAGGACATGCCCAAATTTTGGGCTTTTACAACACCTATTCCAAATGAGGATCTAAATAAAACCATTGTAAACTATTGGAGACCTACAAGTTGGAATTGGAGTGTTCTAGAGCATTTGCTACTAAGAAATATCCTTTATTAACTTGAACTTTTTGAACTTGATGAACAAAATAACCAACCGAATATTGTTAACTAGAAGCCTAACAAAGCACCATTGATAACATCATATTGATTTAAGAAACTGTCCATTCTATGGAAAGATGAAAGAGTAGTAAGCAATATTGTTTTGAAAACTAGATCAAACTAGATAGTAGACCAGTCAAACTAATACCCAATAGTGTAAAGGTTTAAGTGACCACTTAGAATCGCTACGGTGATTAAATTGCTTGAAATCATATAACCCATTCAAACCATCATGAACCAACAAACTATTTGACTAAATGGTTTAATACTTATGGCAAAAATTCCAAATATTTGTCCCAATAAGAGTCAAACATTTAGGCTCGAATTGTTAATTCAACCATTTACCACTCAAGTAATGAACTCTTGTGATCTTTGTTACTAAAAATATTATTATTTAATAAAAGTTCTCAAAGATGTAGAATAAAATGTTGAATAAAGGGCATTCTAGAGAATCGAACTCTCATCCTCCAAGTCATGGAATAAAACTTCTTCCACTTGATATTAAATAATTTCTTCAATCATTGGTGCTTTTAATTATATTTATTTTAAATAAAACCTATTAATATAAAACTACAATATGGGACACTCGAACCTTTAGCCTCTAAAGTGGAAGAACAAACTTTTACCACTAAAGCCATCTTACTGCATATGAATGAAATTCTCTACATAATAAGATATTTATAACAAATTGGCAGTTTTTTTAGTTAAACTAGTTAGACCATCCAAATCAAGAACTAAAGGTCAATGGTTTGACCTCCGATTTAATTTTTAAAACATTGGTAATAAAAGCATAATGGTGTTTAAAGTTGATTCGCATAAAGCTTTTGAAATTGTAGATTATAATTTCTTTCAAGAGGTGTTAATTACAGTTAACATCTTAGTTCCCCTGATTAAACTTAAACTAATAATGCTCTTGTTATACCCAAAGTTGAATCCTATGAGAATTACACATGGACATGCCCAAAAAGAGTTCTATTTAGATTAAGATAAAAGAAAACCCATTAGAACTAAAATGCTTAGCACCAACCCAAATAGAATTGTAATTCTACGAAAATTTTATGTAGTATCCTATAAATACCCCAATGATTAAACTTAGAGGGCATATTATTTTCTTCATTCTCCCTATTGTAAGCTCTCTCCAATATTGATCAATAAGGTGCTCGGTTTCATTCATCATCTTTTTATTTTTTTGGTGTTAACATTTGGTACCCACCATGGGGCCAAGTTCTTGTTGATCCACGAATACCACATGGCAAATCTAAGGAATTCAACATCATCCCACAAAAATATTCCAAGCTCCGGGAACAACAAGGGAATAACTAATTCCTCTTCATCAAGAACAAATTCAGGAGGTACTGTTAATAAAGCTAAACTAGCGGCTCTATCTATAACATCACAAATAAAGAAACTTGCTCAAGACATGGAAGAAATGAGGCAAAGTTTAAAGGCAATTGACCAAGCTATAGCATCTTTAACAAATAATATAAATATTTCAGTGCAAGATCTAAG